AAGGTGCTTCGGAGCATCAACAAACAACAACCAAAGCTTAAAATTCCTACAAATAGTGATATATGTATTGCTTGCTTACAAAATAAATGTCACAAACTGCCCTTTTGTACTAGTAGTACTAAATATGCTCTACTAGAATTGCTTCACTCTGATTTTTGGGGGCCATTTTCTCAACCGTTACTTGATGGTTCTTTATTTATTCACATTGATAGATACTTATTCTAGGTACTGCTGGTCATTTCCATTATATGAAAAATTTGAATTTTTCACTTGTTTTATTAACCTGCACAAACAATTAACCAATAAGTACAATTGTAATATTAAGAATATAAGAACTGACGAAGCTACTAAATACAGAACAAATCAATTGCAAAGTTACTTACAACAACATGGAATACATCATCAAATTAGTTGTCCTTACACTCCTGAACAAAATGGATGGCAGTGTATAAAAGTCACCATATTATTGAAACAACTAGAACATTACTTAACACTGCTTATTTACCCACAGAATTTTGGATTATTGTTGTTCAAACAACCATTTTTCTTATAAATCGCCTGCCCTCCCCAACAACAAACAATATATCTCCTTTTCAGCTTCTCAACAATATTACTCCTAAATTCCATAACCTGAAAACCTTTGGTTGCTCATGTTTCCCTTGGCACCAACAAAGCCCCCACTATGTATCTTTTTGGGTTGTAGTAGCCATCACAAAGATTACCAGTGTTATGACATTTAGCAACAGAGAATCATTATCTCTAGACACGGTACATTCAATGAAACACACTGTCCTTTCAAAGATATTCAACGTTCAGCGCTCTCTTCACAACCTGACACTCAATCATATCCTCCTTCCCTATTACTTCCTACTTCAGCAATCAATTCCTCACAGCCCACTACTTATCCTATCCTTCCTTCCAACAACACTGACTCGCATAATAATCTTCCTTCCTCACCGCCTGTCTCACATACACAACATTACACTGAACTCCCATCAACTTCTGCAAATCCTTCTCCATCTTCTCACCCTCAAGTCATTACTAAGACACATCACATGCTCACTAGTGCACAAACAGGCAAATTAAAGCCCTCCAAAATTTTCCCGTTGCTACATCACACATATCTAGATACTCCTGTTGCATTTAATCAAGCAATTAAACAACATCCATGGCGTCAAGCAATGTCAGAAGAATTCCTTGCACGTCAAAAGCAAATCACTTGGATCCTCAACAACATATATTGGGCTGCAAATGGACGTATCGAACTAAATATCACACAAATGGCAATGTTGCTTGTCAAAAATCTCATTTAGTAGCTGAAGGATATAAACAACAACAAGATATAGACTTTAACGAAACATTCAATCTCATTACTAAATTTACAACTATTAGAATGCTTATTGCTTTAGATGCTGCAGAAAGTTGGGACATACATCAATTAGATGTATCAAATAACTTTTTATATGGTAAACTCAGTATGTACTATATATGCCCAACCTCCTGGATTTCAGGATACCACTTACAATTTACTAACCAAGTCAGGAATGATGCAATCAAAATCCATTTTAACTCCTTTACCCCTTCAACCATCGAAATGTACCCTTCCATCAACACCCTTAACCAATCCTCAAACTTATAGAGAACTCATTGGGGCCTTACAATACTTACATGTCACTCGACCTGATATACATTCAGTTTTAACTTCCTAAGTCAACATATGCATGACCCACATCAAACTCACTTCCAACTTCTCAAAAGATTGCTACGGTATTTAGAAGGAACAACACTATGGTCTACTTATCACTGTTGGATTACTTGTTCGCCTCGCAAACAGGGCAAGTGATGGTAGTGATAGAAAATATATTATTAGTTATTGTAACTATTTAGATAACAATCTCATTTCCTGGTCATCGAAAAAGCAAAATACTGTTTCTAGATCTTCTACAGAAGCCAAATACAGGGCTTTATTGACTACAACAACATCAATATTATGGATAAAATCATTATTGGAAGAACTCTCTGTGATATTATCACAATCTGTAACACTTTATAGTGACAGCTCTACAGCGATTGCTTTTGCGCATGGCCCTGTACTTCATGCTCGAACTTAGCATATAGAAGTTGATTGTCACTTCATCTGAGAGCATATAAAGCTTAAGCATATTCTTCTACAACATATAATGACACAAGTCCAACCCACAGACATCTTTACCAAAGCCCCAACTACTTAAAGGCATCAAGAGCTTACCAATCTCAAGCAAACTGATGATCAACTTGCAGGGGGTAAAAGGAATTAGCTATTTTCACTGAAGGATATCTCATGGATTTACTGGATTGGAAGATCGTGCAAGTCATTCGCTCCTCGTCTTCTACTGATGATGCTTTGCCTGTGATACAATTGTATTAAGGTTAAGATTGAGTCATATATGTGTATATGTATCAGTTGTACAAGTATGTAAAATATCTAAGTTAACCTTAGATTTATTTACAAGTGTGCCACAACTGTATTCTATATATAGCTTACAATGTATGTGACAGAGTTTATGCTGAGACAATAAAATAACTTTCCTGTTATGTTTTCTTCTCTTCTTCTCTGTTTTCTTTCTTTATCTGTTCTTTCAAAGTAAAGCCGAGAGTAGGGTGATTGTTGCTTTTCAGACGCAAGAGGAAGCAGGTGTGAAGCTGAAGGTGGCATTTTTCAATATTCTTCGTTGCCATGAACTCGTCGCAATTTTCATAGGCTTGCCCACACATCGCCTCAATATGATTACGCCATTAATGCTGTTAACGGAGTGTGAAATTTATAGGGGTTGTTTCATAGCCACTTTTAAGCAGGATTTATGTATGATTTACACTAAATTCTGCCAAATGGTAAAAAACAGACGAATAAATCCTATAAGTTCTTAAATTCTGTTTTGCCTTAAATTCTAGATTTAAGAAATCCTGTCAGAAGCCGAATCCTGTCAAAATTATCAAAACACTTATTTTGAATTTATTATGATTTACATATTTACATATTTTTAGGATTTAAAACTTTCAAGATTGCATAAATCCAAATTTATAAGATTTATTAAATCCTATTCAAATTAAATCTCACTATTAACTAAATAATCCCATAGAAAAAGAAGTTTTGAATGTTGTGTATGTAACTCCCCAAATTCAAAATGTTTACATTTTAGTTGTAATATACTTCTTTAAAAACCCAATCAAATAATCTTATATATACATATTCGCCTGGCGTACCCTAGCAACTGTTACGACTTCGATGTTTCTTCTCCGACATCTATTATGTTTCCTTCTCCCGGTCTTCTGGTCTCGCGAGTTTTGCTTTGCGGCTCGGCTCGTCTCCTGTCCTCCCATCTCGCGAGCTTTCCCGGCTCGGGAGTTCTCGGCTCTACGGCTCATCTTCTTGCAAGTTTTGCAGCTCTCCGTCTCACGGGTATAATTCGCGATTTCTGCTTGTCTCGCATGTTCTCCTTTTCAACTTCGGTTGATGCAAATTTTTCTGTGTTTTCTTCTTAACGCCACACTGGATGGCTTCAGACAGATCGTATGCAGCTGCCCTTGTGGGTGTCCACGCCTCAGACACACTGCCTCAGGTACACCTAAATTGTGCTCTTTACCTCCTTCGATTGAGTGGGCAGAAAACATCAGGAAACCTGGTAGGAAGAATGAGAAACTTGTCATCTTTTTTACAGAAGCTAAAGGTATTCAACTTGTTTCCTTCTATCGTCTCAATTTGGTTTGGAAATTTCTATATTGTCATCCCAAAATGGAGTTTATTCAAATTATTAATGAAGAAAATTACACACGATTATTTGCTAGAAGAATAATTTTGATTGATAACATAACAATGAAGATTTTGAAATGTTCTGTGGATTTTGACCTACAGACGGAATCATCAATCATTTCGGTTTGGATTCGTCTTCATGGTTTGAAATTTCATTATTTTTCTTAAAAAAAATGTTTTATTCTATTGCCTCAGCTTATGGTAAACCACTCAAGACAAACATTTCTATTTTTACTTTTAATCTTTTCCGCTCATCTGAAGCCAAAGTACTTGTTAAGAGAGACATTACTTCTTCCGCTTCTGAGGAAATTTGGTTGGACACACAACATCATGGATATTGGCAGAATGTTGAGATTGAGCATTTTCCTTCGTATTGTTCGAACTTTCGCATGTTTGACCACTCGAATTTTCGATGCCATCTACATCCTCACCTCAGACCAAAAAAGCAAAGTGCTCTGCTAGAGACAGTGATTTCAACTTCTCTTGATCAACTTGAAGTTATTGACATTATCGATCATCAAAATGATACATCTGAAGACGTCACTATTTCCGCAGACATTATATCAACCATTCAGTCTCCGCACATTGTTGTAGCTCCCCCGTCTTTGGAACCTCCTATAGTGGAGGCGAGGGAGATTCTTCAGACTCCGTCTGCCCTATAACATATCACTGATATTACAGGTAAAAATACTTCTATTGCAAAAATACTTATGTTGCTTCACTACTGCCTCATCAGATCCAAAAATATGTCAATTTTACTCAGACTCATGGGGATCATGATGTGTAACATCCTACACATGTCTAACCACATTTGGACCAATCAATTGATCAGATGATGAATGATAGGTCTACACATTCAGGAAGAAGAAGAAGAAGAATGAAGTCATACTTGAGCTCAGAAATTTGATAGATGATACTTTGGTTACTTCGGGTAATGGTACGCACCTTACAAATTTAGCCGACTCCCTTCCGAGAACTAGAGACTTTTGAGTATGTTGGTGGTTTTTTGGTTTTTTTATTTTTATGTATTTTTGCTTCTTTGGGTTTTTGTGTGTTATATTGTATGAGTTGGGTCTTCTTTTAGGTCATCTCGTACAACCTATATGTACC